AAGTGGCTGAGATCGCTATAAAAAAATGTATTAATCATTTATGGTATCTTGGAGAAGAAACCGCTTTTTTTTCGATATTTGATGATAGGATTGGTAATCATGTAAAAAAACAGATGGCTAAAAACTATTAGAAATTGACGATCATGAAGACGGCGAATTTAACATAGAAATTCAAAAAAAATATTTATTAAAAATTGACGACGTCTCACAATTTCTAAAACAAGATTTACCACTTGAATTATTGACGCCTAAATCAAAAAATATATTCCGAAGATTCCAATTAAACATGGAGTTCTTCTATCAAAATCCGGTAAATTGACCAAATATCTATAGTTATACAAAGGCCAAGAATATTTTACACCATTTGAGCATCATAAATGATGCAGCCGAACATGGAGTCAAATTGATGGAAGATTTTAATACAAAATTTACTTTGATTTTTTTTTAGGTAGTACAAGAATACCGTAAAAAATATCCAAGTTGTAGCAAAGATGTTAACAAAAGATGCAACAGAATAGTAAGGTTATTATCATTTTTTTTAATTAAATAATAACAGTATAAAAATGTTATTTATCTATTTTATATAAAAAATATTTATGTTTGAAAAATTGTCAACATTCAAACAGGTCAAAAAACCTTTTTAATACAGCATAATATGTTCTATAACAAAATGTGTGTATGATTTTTAGGTAATTTTAAAATTTAAGAGATTAGAGGACAAAAACTTAACACTTATAACATTTCCTAAAACACTAATTTAGACGAGTTTTTTTTAATTAACGGATAACCATCAACCTCACTATATATTTATAAGAAACTTTTATTTATTAAATATATATAGCTACAATAATAGTACTTAAAGTTTTTTGCGTGACATCGATATTTAAGAGAGTAAACGCAAAAAATGGTAATTCATCCCATTTAATAAAACTTCAACTCCTCTGAGGCACGGAAAGGGGTAGACTTATCACTCTCAAACTTTATGACAATTATATTTTTAATACATAGAACAAAATGTGGGGTACTCGTCATCAATTTAAAAAAAAAATTAACTTCTATAGCTAAGGACCACGATAATATATATATATATATATGTAGTATTATTGTATATTTTCATTTTTTTTATTAATTTTCTTTTTCAGTTTGTTGCAGTAATCGGTATAGGAAAAACCATAATTACTAGAGTGATTTTGTTTGGTCCTGGAGTAGGTTTGTTTGAATTAATATAAATATCCAACAGTTTTCTTTGTTATAATAAGGAATGCTGGCACAGAATAAAACAGAATGGACACTGATAACAAATTACATGGGCAGCATAAGACAATAATGAAATCAGTCAGCCATTTTATTTGAGGTACAGTAGGAAGTTAGTAACATTTTATTCCATCATGAAACGGTAGTAATATTCTTTATAAGCTGCTGCGCATTTTCAAATGTTACTAATATTAGTATTATTTTTCAAGGTATTAGGTATAATAAGAGTTTGAGATTTGGGGGGCTTATATGTCTTATACTATGGTATGACCATGGGTCAACCCCCAACCTCCCATCTTAACCAAAAAAATATAAATTGTGTTTTTGTAAATGTATTACAATTGTATTTGTAAATTTAATACAACAATGATTTGCATTTTATAGTATTATATCGATATAAACGTTTTTAATATACTTAAAAATTTTATATAAATACCTGTATAATACTATTTAATCATCGATGAAGCTATTTTATACATTTTTTTTTTTTTTTAAACACTTCCCATTCTGAAATCCTGCACATGGGCCTGTATTATGGTAGACATACTATCTAAAAAATGATCGACAAGTAAAAACTTCTTGGTACCCAGTAGGTCACCATGTTTCACACTGTTTGGTAGATTACATATTAAACAATTACCGTAATTGAAATTACAATTAATAACGAATATCAGTTATCACTGATTATAATTTGATAACAAAAGTACCTCAATTAAAGTGGCCGCTGATTTCGTTGCCGCCGTGTTGTGTCCACCCACTGATGCTGGGTTTAGTAGGGTGCAAATTACGATTGATTAATTGCGTGGTAAATTTATGCTATTTCAATGATTGCTACTTGTTCATCACGCTATTTAGTCATAAACGCAGTCATTAATGAATTACGTTGCAAATTCTGTGATGTTTTTTTTTTATGATTTTCACTGTTTAAATGAGTAGTTAGAGGTTTTTTATTTATTTTAAATAACCATTTCTTATACTTTTAGATAGTAAACCATGACTCTTTAAACTTAGTTTCATACTTTTTCACTTTTCTTGGATTATCTTAATATTCTTTCATGATGATAAAATAATAAATATACAAGAATTAGATACCTAATAAACAATTGCGTACGATGTACGAAATATAATTACATGAACAACTAATTTGACAACGAATTAATTTTTTTTGGCGCAAATGGGTAATTCCTCTGTCTTGGCTACTCGGCACACCCCATAGATCCTATGAACCAATTAGAACTTATAATGTGGTGTAGTATTTTTTTCTTTCTTTTCTCTGAAATTATCTAAATTTTATTTATTAGTCTATTCACTGATTATTATTTGAGTGTTAAATTTTTAGATTGTCTTTTATGTCACGTTTTTTTTACTTCTGACGTCACTTGTAAGACATATCTATGATCTATTAATTACTTATGTCATTAACAATTTAATTTTATTTTTATTTATTTTTATTGTATTTTAATACATTATATTTAAAATGATAACGCATTAAAATTTGTGTACCCTTAAAAGTTATACTTGTGATAAGGTAATGAATTTGTTTGGTAATTAAAACAAACATACATTTTTAACAACAACAAGAAAATACGAGTTAAAATTAAAATAATGTATTATTTTTTGTTTTAGTTTTAATTCAATACTTGGAAGACGTTTTGGATAACCAAATTTGCTGGTTTAGAAAAAAATAGATGGGCACATTTTCCTTTTAAATCAATTGGATATGGAGTTCTGTTAGTACACAAATATATCACAATAATGGCGGAGAATCATTTGCGCATATATTAATATATTTTTTAAATCTATGATAACTCGTCAGGGCACAAAATTGTGAACAATGAAATCCAACTTATAGATATAGTTTAGGTGTAAGGGGTCTGTATACTCTAAAGACATAACAAAACATATTTGTTTTCAATCATGGTTTCCCATACATTTTCATTCATCGGTAATGTAATAATCGCAATTACAATGGTCACCAAATAAATAAATCGTTGATGCTAATAAATTATATTTTTATATTTTTATTAAATTATTTATTTAATTATACTAATAACTTGATTGTAAATTTTTTTTTATAATCGACAAAGTCATAAATAATTGCTAAATGTTAAAGAAGTTACGCTAAATTAAATAGCTCAAACAATGGTTATAAATCCACTTATCGGTGACACCAGAATATGATTAGACAGAAAGTCCAAAGCCTTATTAAGGTTGAAGGAAAAAATTGTGTATGTGTACAATAATTGTTCACCATCAGTAATCGGTGAAAGACATAAGGGCCAAAATGAGATAAGAAAAAAATAAAGTCGTATCGTACATAAGCGCCAAAATGAGATAAAAAAAAATCTTATCGTACAAAAGCACCAAAATTCTAGATCCGCATAGTGTGTAATAAATGTAGTACAAATATATAAAAATGGGATTAAAAAATCAACCAATTTCTTAAATTTATATTTATTTGCATGTATAATGTGTATCATAATTTATTATTGATATTCTTTTATAAAATCGCAATTTTCAAATGACTACTTACATAAATTATTAATTTTAGCGCAAATTATATGGCATTTTTGAACCTTTGGCGCTCATGTCACATGTTAGGTATAATAGATATACAATATTAGATAGGCGCTTACGTACTACACATTTTGGCGCAAATTATATGGCATTTTTGTACCTTTGGCGCTTATGTCATATAGTCTCAGTAATAACCATAGGCGTATCTAGGAGGAGGCTTGGGGGAGCTTAGTCCCCCCC